ACCTATCTATTGATGATAATGGGGTGTTAAAGTCTCCCACAACCACTGTGTTGGAGTTAATAGATGCTTTTAGGTCTTTCAGGGTATGTTTGATGAAATTGGGTGCATTGACATTGGGTGCATAGGTTGATAATTGTTATTTCCTTTTGGTCTGTTTCCCCTTTTATTAGTATGGAATGTCCTTCTTTATCTCGTTTGATCAATGTAGGTTTGAAGTCTACTTTGTCAGAGATAAGTATTGCTACTCCTGCTTGTTTTCAGGGGCCATTGGCTTGGTAAATCTTCTTCCAGCCTTTCATCCTAAGCCTATGCTTATTTCTGCCGGTGAGATGGGTCTCCTGTAAGCAACAAATTGTTGGATCTTCCTTTTTAATCCATTTCGTCAAGCGGTGCCTTTTGATGGGTGAATTAAGTCCATTAACATTAAGCGTTAGTACTGATAGGTATGTGGTGATTCCTGTCATTTAGTTGTCTTAGTTGTTTGAAGGTTTGATTGTGTGTACCTAAGTTGAGGTTACTCTCTACTTCTTGCTTTTTCTTTCCTGTGGTTTGGTGCTGCCTGCCTTTTCATGGTTAAGTTGGGTGTCACTTTCTGTGTGCAGAATCCCTTGCAAAGAATCTTTTGTAGTGGTGGCTTTGTGGGTCACATATTGTTTAGTTTCTGCTTATCATGGAAGACTTTTATTGCTCCATCTATTTTGAATGATAGTTTTGCTGGGTAGAGTATCCTGGGGTTGAAGTTATTTTCATTGAGTGCCCGGAATATCTCACCCCACGCTCTTCTTGCTTTTAATGTTTCTGTTGAGAAGTCTGCTGTTATTTTGATGGGTTTACCTTTGTATGTTACTTGTTTTTTCTCTCTTACAGCCTTCAATATTCTTTCCCTAGTTTCTGAACTTGTTGTTTTAATGATGATATGTCATGGGGTAGTTCTATTTTGGTCTGGTCTGTTTGGTGTTCTGGGGGCCTCTTGCATCTGTATGGGAATAGATTTCTCTAGATTTGGGAAATTTTCTGTTATTATTTTGTTAAATATATTACGCATTCCCTTCACTTGCACCTCTTCTCCTTCTTCGATGCCCATGATTCTCAAGTTTGGTCTTTTGATGGAGTCGGTGAGTTCTTGCATTTTCTTTTCACAGATCTTGAGTTGTTTAATTAATAGTTCTTTGGTTTTCCTTTAATTACCATTTCATCTTCAAGTTCTGAGATTCTGTCTTCTGTTTGTTCTATTCTGCTGGATTGGCCTTCCATTTTGTTTTGCAATTTTGGTTCGTTCTTTTTTCTGAGGTTTTCCATATCCTGGGTGGTTTCCTCTTTAATGTTGTCTATTTTTGTCTTGAGTTCACTTATCTCTTTATTAATCGTGTTCTCTGTTTCACTTTGGTGTTTATACAGTGCTTCTATGGTTTCCTTTATTTCTTCTTTTGCTTTTTCAAATTCTCTATTTTTGTTGTCTTGGAATTTCTTGAGTGTCTCCTGTACATTTTGGTTGACCCTATCCAGTATCATCTCTATAAAATTCTCATTGATTACCTGTAGTATGTCTTCTTTTAGATTATTCTTGTGGGCTTCATTGGGTTCTTTGGCATAATTTATCTTCATTTTGTTGGAGTCTGGATCTGAGTATCTGTTTTCTTCATTCCCCTTGGTTCCTGTACTAATTTTTTGCTGTGGGGAAGCTGGTTTCCCTGTTTTTTCTGTCTTCCCGTCATTGCCCTTGGTGTTGTTATTGTCCCTGTACTGTGTGCAATTAAGTATTTTCTGGCTTGTAGTAATAGCACTAGTGATATTTAGAAAGGAAGGGTGAGAGAAGATGGAAAGCAAAGAAGTGAAAGGAAATGGGAAAAAACAAATCAACAAGTGGAAAAAAAACAAAACAAAGAAACAAACAAAAAAAGTGTCAAAGATATAAATAGAGAGAGACAGTGTACTATTCAACCATAAGCTGAAAAGGCATTAGAGGGACAGAGAGAGGATTGAAAATAATAAAAATAAATAAATAAATAAATGAAAAAATATAAAAAAATTTTTTTAAATCTCCAAGTTCAAATGCAATTTTGGTGTTTGTCCCTCAGCCTGCAATCCTGAAGATGGTGCCTCAGATGTTGTTCTGTAGTTGTCTCATCAAAGGGGAGAAATAAAATAAACCAAAACTGCACAAAACAAAACCAAAACAAAATAGAAAACCCACCAAGTGTCCCAAGTTCAAATGCAATACCGTTTCAGTAAGTTTTTCAGCATGAAGGTGTAGTTCAGGTGTTGTCTCATCAAAGGTAGGGAGAGAGAAAAAAAAGAGTCTGGAGACAGGTCTGAGAATGGTATCTGCAGCTGTGGCTTGCCTGCCCACTGCTGTCAGCCTGCTGTTGCTGGAGGCTTATTTATGCAGATCTCAGGGGTGAGTTTAGCACTCACCTGGCCCTGCAGGCTTTGTTTACTCAAAGTTCTCCTGTGTGGGAGCCTCTGCTACAAGCTTTCCCCTTTCCAAGCACTGGGGGAGGTGACACTGCACCCACTTTCTCAGGCCTGCGTGTTTATTTACAGTTCATGTGGGAAGTGGGTCCTCCCCCTCTCCTGTGGAGTTTTCTTCCACCACCACTTTTCCAAGCTTTCCCGCTCCTGATTACTGGGCGGTGCTGCTGCTCCTGCCAGCCAGCGTGTTTGTTTACAGTTCGTGTGGGAAGTGGGTCTTCCCTCCTCTCCTGTGGGGTTTTCCTCCCTCCTCCACTCTCATAAGTTTTCCTGCTCCTGGTTGCTGGCATGTGCTGCCACTCCCACCTTCTCCGGCCAGGCCCAGCTTGTTTATTTACAGCTCCAGGAAGGATTCCTCTCTCCTCCTCTTCGGCACTCAGGGCGCCCCACCCTCTTTGCTATGTGTCTTTATTATTCTTATTGCTTATTACTCAATTTCTCTTTTTTCCCCAGGTGGGGGTTGGTCTGTCCAGGGGGCTATGCTGATCTGGCCCAGGGTTGACTGTGGAAGTACTGTGTACCACTTAGCTCACCTTGTGGTCTGCGTCTTCCCAAGCCGTCTGGGTGCTGGCGTCTGACGGTGGCCCGGGGGCCCTCCTGGTTTCTCCGTTTAACATGAAGTGGAGATTCTCTGCACAGGCTGGAGGTGTGGAGGGGTCAAAGTTTTGCCTCTTCTTGGTGGTTTTCCTGTAAGGTGTGTCTCCAGTGTCTCTCCAAGATTTTACTTTAGGAGGCACGCTTTTTGCTTCCTCCTCTAGCCACCATCTTGGAATCCCTGTGAGCACTTTTCTAATGGTCCAGCTGAAGGGTGAGGTGCAGCCCCATGAGTTTCCAGCACTTGGAGACCTGGGTGAGATCCGCTACTGCAAGCTACTTCTGAGCTGACACCACCTGAAAAGAGCTTACTGGGATGAGTCCCCACTCGAAAACCCCAATCAAGGGTAAGGAACATGCTTTCCAGGGAGGCTTTACTGCCTGGAAAGAAGTGAAGGTTTTCTTTTTAATTAAATCATTGATTTACAGCAAGCACAGAAGCCCCTGGGGCTGCAGCAGGCCTTGCTTGTTCTTTAGGCTGCACCTGTTGGGTGCGGCTCCTCCATCCTCCCGTCCTCTGGGAGGCAGTTTTGTGTGGAAAGTTGATCCAGGGCTGCTTGTACTCTAGCCTAAGCAGACGTGGGGGCCGGCATACAACGGCACGGCAGTGTTCCCAGAGCTGAAGGTGGAAAAAGCCAGCTCTTAAATGCCTGGGGTCCGTGTCAGGGACCCCAGCTGAGAAACTTACCCAAGTGTACAGGGGATGCCAAGGTGAACAGGTAGCGGACTCCACTTTATCAGCAGCTCTGCCTAGATGGAGGGGCAGCCCTCCTGTGGTGCTGAAGAAACACTTCCCACACGCCAGTCAGCCTCATTCCTGGTTGAATACCCATCTAAGACGACTGCTGCACTGTGAGAGGTTAAGTGGGGATAGGACACCTGCTCATCCACAAGGGAGGGGACAAGAGGACCTCTCTGTGAGGGAGGGGACTTGGGACCTGTTCATCCATGGAGGGGTAGGATGCATGTCAGTCTGGACACATTGAGCTTGGTGTGCAGAGACATTGTCCAGAGAGGTCAGGAGGCAGGCAGAAGCAGTCAGGTCTGTGGGGTCACCTGGGGATTGGAGGAGCAGAATAGACTGAACGAGCAGAACACAAGGCAGAGTTTCCAGAGGGTGTTCTGTCCAGTGCATCAAGACAGGCCAACAGCAGTTAGGACCCTTGGACTCAATGTGGATGGGCCTTGGGGCCAGGTAGCCTGGCATGGCCAGTTCTCAGTGACTGTGGGAAGGTAGAGACCTTCTCCCAGAGACATGGGTCACAGTGGGTAGAAACAGGTCTGTACTTGCAGGGGTCACAAGGCAAGAACACATCTGCTGTGTGTTTATACAGAGATGTGGCAGCAGGGGTGGTATTCCTGAGGACCTGCCCTGGATGGGTGGGATGCAGAACACAGGGCACAGAGCAGCCCCCCCAAAAGATCCTTTCCCTGACACAGAAGGATGGAGTGGGGAAGTCTAAGCTGGAGGAAGAAGTTCTTCCCTTCTCTGGTGTGACATCCCCAAATATCTGTCTAATTTTCTAATGGAAGACAGAGAGAGATAAGAAAAAGAGCCACTTCTAAACAGCTATTATACTTTCATTTGTCTTGTCAGAACCTTGCACTTCGAAACTCTGCTTCTGCAGAGAGAGTGAGGATGCCTTTGGATACAAGCCACAGTGACACAGTTAAACTATTGGCTGGAATAATACAAAATGCCCCTAAAATAGGAGCTCTTAGTCTGGGGTCCGTGGTTCTTCATGGACTCTAGTAATTTCAGAGGGTCCCAAGCACCCATGGAATTCAGGTAGCAAGGGGTTGGCACAGGCTATGAGGAGATGACTGTGTTTCTTGAACTCTGAGAGACACATGGCCCCACCCTAACCACAGAATTTGCCATTTTGTTTCAGGGGGTTGAGAAGCACTGTCAGAGATCTTCTGAGCTGACACCACCTGAAAAGAGCTTACTGGGATGAGTCCCCACTCGAAAACCCCAATCAAGGGTAAGGAACATGCTTTCCAGGGAAGCTTTACTGCCTGGAAAGAAGTGAAGGTTTTCTTTTTAATTAAATCATTGATTTACAGTGTCCTAAAACAGGAGTCTGGACTAGGGTTGTAGCTCAAATGGTAGCGTGCCTGCCCTGAGTTCAAATCCCAATACCACCAAAAAACACTCTAAAATGAAACATGGTTACCTGCAAAAGCATCCATTCTTCAGGTTTGATAAATGACAGGTAGTGTTAAAATGGGAAAGATAGATCTTGGAGAATGGAGAAAAGGACATGATTCCTGATGTCTGTTGGGGAGGCCAGGACAAGGGAGGTATGCTTGGAGAATCACCAGGAGTTTCCCTCATAAAGAACTTATACCAAGGTCTTTCAGAGAGCTCAACACCTGTCACCCCTACCTGCCTGCCTCAAGGACAGGTGATTATCTTGTGAACTCCCAGATGCTTTTGAAGCATGGAGGGTGGGGCAGCCATCCTCCTCCTAGGTCCATGCTCTCCCCACTGGTGCCTGTGCCTGCTGTAATGCATGACAGCTCCACATCAGACACCAACATTGAGAAGGGGCTGAGGGAGCAGACAATCTCACCAGCCTCTCAACTGGTGGCCATTTCTGGGCAGAATAGTTGTCCATCTGGCTGTCAAGAGTTCCACTTCTCTTGGTCCCTGGGCCTCTTCCTTCACCACACACCCTGATCAACACTGCACAATCATCCCCTGCCCTCTTCACCTGCTCTTCCCTACCTGCCCAGGCCTCTCCCTCTTGGCCTTCTCTTTTCTTTTCTTCCCCATCTTCTTCCCACTCTCTTTTGCTGTTTTCCAAAATCCCACACCTGCTTCCTGTCCACTCTCCTCTGGTATTTATGAAGGCCAGCATTCAAGAGCTCTGATGATCACTTGACTTGGTTTACCCATATGGACCAGAGAGATTGAGGTGATGGTGCAAGGCCAGTACATTGTGACCACAAGGAGGTGCTGCTGCTTCAGACTTAGTGCCGGGTCCCTCAGCATGAGGTACAAATGAATGACCCCTCTCTTGCCCAGTGTGGGCAGTCTAGAGTTTGCACAGGTGTGTGTTTCCCAAGAAAGGTGGCATCTTTCCTGTCATCATCCCTCTGCATCTTCAGGCAGCTCTGAAGGTGCTTGGAGCAATGTGGAGGGCCTTACAAGCTGTCTGCTCTCCTAGCTGGAGCCAGGACTGCCCCCAGTCTTGAGAGGAAATAGAAGCTGAATCTCTCTCAGACTTGGTAATGAAGGAAGATAGCTCATAACTTCTCTGCCATGGAATTTCAGTGTTTCTCAAACTGTCTAACCTGAGTCCCTCTTGTTGCTGTTTGCTTTGACTGTGTTACGGTTCCTGGGAATTTTCATCGTGATTCTAATTGTTGTTTTTCTTTCAACACCCACACTGTTAGTGCAGTGTTTGGAAAGTGAGAAATGAGAAACTGTGAGTTACAGAACAAAACCCAAATGTTTGGCCACAGTAGTCTAAAAGAAACAAACTTTCACTAGAGCGTAGGTCCCTCTGACAGACAAAGCTGAGTAAGTCAAAGTGTGCTGTGTGAGTGGGTAAGGAACAGGTTTGATATATGTGATGTGGTAAAGGCCAGGTGGGAACCAGAGCCCCCCACCCTCCACCGCTTCAATGGGATATCCCAACCTACCCCTGGGCTGGGTACCAGCAGGAAGCCTGGTGTCCATCCCTCTCAAGAATAGCAAGACCCCCTTTTCCCTAAGGGTGGTGTCAGGAGACCTGGGGAGTGTCAGTGGAAAGCTGTGGAGTGCAGGAGCTCCCTCCTCCAGTGTCAGCAAAGACCACATGTGGAACCTGGCTTGTCCTCCTCCAGTCAGGAGCCACTATCCCTGCCCTGCAGAGATGGGTCAGCAAGAGCCAGCCACCAAGAGCCAGCCACCATAGAGTCAGACAGCATAGAGCCAGCTACAATAGAGCCATCTACCATAGAGCCAGCCACCAAGAGCCAGCCACGGTAGAACCAGCTACTGCAAAGCCAGCCACCATAGAGCCAGCCATGGTCTGACAGCATGGGACCCAAGTGTCTAGGTTTCAGCAGAAAATCAGTAATCAAATCATGAACCAGGAACATCTCAAACTGAGTGAAAAAGGGCAATCAGTAGACATCAGGTCATGATGTCCAGAGCACCGGAACTATTGGATAGAGATTATAAGCAGCCATTGTGAAAATGCTCCAATGAGCAACTTTAAATGTGGCAGGAACAGGAAGAACTAGAGACTCAGTAAAGAAACAGAAAAAAATAAAGAAAAGCTAAGTGGAAATTTAGAACCTGAAATATACAAGACATCAAATGGAAAACCTGGTGGATGGCTCAGCCACAGATGGGACAGAGAAATGAATCAGTGAAGGAAAAGATAGTAGAACTGCCCCATCTGAGTCTGCTCTTCAGCTAAAATAAAAAAGAGTGGCATCCAGTGTTATGGTGCTAAGAAGCCAGATCTCACCTACTCTGCAGGTGGGATGCAAAATGGAGCAAGCCCTTGGAAAACAGATTGGCTGTTTTCTTTAAAAATGACACCTGAGACAACCAACCAGTGAAGGAAAGAATGATAAACTGAACTTTGGTCAAATTTTAAAACTTTTGCTCTACCTCAAGAGGGAAAAACTTGTATGGAAATGTTTATAGTAGCTTTGTTGATCATAGTTGAGTATAGGGAACGCCCTCACCTGGAGAAGCAAACTGGCTAGCTCACTCCGGAAGTGCTACTTAGCAACGCAGCCACCCTGGGTGAAAAGCCAATCCAAAATAACCGGACTCCATGACTCTGTTTTTGGCATCCTCAGAACAACAGTGGAAGGCGAAGCAGCATGCTGGTGGGGTGGTGTTCTGTAGGATCCCTTGGTCCTGCTGGTTGGAGTGGCCTACAGTTTTGTAGAATGACAGTTGGGGAGAAAAGTGCGGGGACGTTAAAGTGAGTCTGCAGTGACCTCGACATGAAAGGTTACAAAGGGTTTACCTATGTGCTGTGCTTTGTGGATAAGAGCTATTAGTCACCAAGTTTCTGCATGTGTATAGATGTGGAGATTGTCTCATAAATCATAATTAAAAGAGTTGTCAATTTCTCGGTCAATGGCATGGCTAAAATTAGATCTAATTAGGAAGTTTCAGTCCTGTTCATATGCACTGTTGTGTAGATATGAAAAATAAACCCTTTGTAACCTGTGGCAGTTTGACAATAGAAAATAAATCCATTTCAAAATAAAATACCTTAAACTCACAGGGTGTTTAGCAATTGTGAAGAAATTGTAGGCCCCTTGCCCCAGCTCTCCTCAGTGGTGGGTGCCTGTGTCACACAGGTGTGGTAACACAAGCAGTGGATGATGGCCACTCCTGCCCAGCCAAGCCTATAGATCAGGGCCCAGCAGAGCCACAGAACTCTCTTTCCCCAGCTGCAGGGGAGGCTGATGGGCCTGGAGACACCCCAACTCTCCATCATTCACTTGCCAAGCACAGATGCAAGCAGCAGCCGGGAATCCACAGGTGCCTCCCTGGGCTTGCTGAGCTAGTGCCTGAGGCCCAACCTCCTGTGACCTGGGCTCACCAGGTGGGGCAGCGCCTGTGCCTGCACCCTGCAGAACAGCCCCAGTCGGGCTCCTGACCCTGTCTCCACCACACATTCTCATGAACACCCTAAACATGCAGGTACACATGTGTATACACAGACATATGTGGGTGGAAGTGCATGAAATTCATCCATCTGTGCACGCATGTACACGTGCGTATGCACAGACACATCCACCCAAGGCCCTTTTCTCTCTCTCTGCTCACATTATCATCTCTCCCATATTTGGTAGAGCTCTAAGTAAATCATTTATCCGATGGTTTTGGAAGAAAAGTAGACTTTAAATTATTGCTTAAGTTTCTTTAGTGACTATAGATGTATTCAGGGTTTCTTTTTCTTTTTTCCTTGTTGTTTAAGTCAGGATTTTACTATGTAGCCCAGGTTGGCCTCAAATTCTCCATCCTCCTGCCTCAGCCTCCTGGGACAAAAGCTGACAATGGGCACATGCTAGCACATCCAGCTAGGACATTGCTGAGGTCAATTTTAGTACAGTGACCATCAGTATCCTCAATGGAGAAGCCCTCCATTGAAGCACAACTGCACACGCTGAGAGCCAATGCTGCACCTGACCTTGCCCGGAAGGTGGAGAAGCCACCACAATGTGGGTATGCACGTCACTGTGCACTTAGGAACATGTATCAAGGACAGTGTGCCAGGATTACTCTAGACATTCACATTACTTAATCTTCGCAACTGCCACCTAAGAGGTCGTAGTAACCAAAGTGCCCCCAGCTCATGATGGTCACCCTCACAGCCATACGAGAGCTATATGCTCCTAGAACTTACTTCAGTGTACATTAACTGCTTCTGGTGACCCACACACTTTTTAGTACAGTACTCAGTAAACTACAGTATCTGGTACTTTTGTGCTAGATGACATGGTCCCTCTGGGGCCAATGGCCCTGCTGTCTGAGGCTAGGCTGTGGTTGGGGGTCCTAAATGCATTTTCAGCTTTCAACTTATGACAGGGTTCTCTGCACGTAAACCACTGGGGGTGGAGGAGCATCTGCACTGCCATTTATTCCTGCCCACGGATGTGGAATCTGAGGCTTGACCTGGTTAGGTCACTTTTTCAAGGTCACTTGGTGACCAGGTTGTTTTGTCTGACCACAGATGCTGTGTTCCAAACATTAGGCCTCGTGGGAACAAGCTCTTCAGATGTTCTGTGAAGACTTGGGTTGGGGCTAGAGTTGGGGGGACGCCAAGTCACCACAGTGCTCCTAAGTAGCATTTAATTACCACCAACAAGCTATGTTCCCTCTCAATGGCCTGTTTCAAGAAAGCTCTCTCCCGTTTCCATAAGTGTGGTGCCCCAGGGAGAAGATAATGTCAGCATTGTTACTTCCAATGATGTGCCATTAATTTCCAGCAGCGCAGAAAGATGCTGGCTTTGAAGTGCCCAGCTCCCTGAGGAACATTCTGTATCCAGCTTAATCTTTGCTCTACGTCTGTGATATTAAGTCCATTCAAAGAACCCAGACTTTGCTGGAATGTTTAATCAATCACAGAGAGAAACCCAGTCACAAACCACATTCCATGGGTAGGCATCAGGCCCAATTCTGCATCTTTGTGAGGGCTGGGAACCTGTTCCTTTCAGGACTTAATGTTCCTGTCCCATGCATTATCTGAGGTTTTGCCACCTGCACAGCGGCTGCTGACCTTTCCAGGACTGCAACATCATGGTGGCATTTCCCATCTGGCAACCTCAAGCCACGGATGGTGTCAGAGAAAGCCAGAGCTGGACTTTTAGCCTGCTGACAGGGAAATCAAGATGTGCTCCATGGCCGTGCAGCAGTGAGCCCCAGAGGTGGGGCTCCCATGACTTGCTTCCCAGTGTAATGGTGCCTGGCTGTTCCCTCTGCTGTTTCTCCTGGGTGTTACATGGATCACTTCGCTGGACACCCTGAACCTCCCAGTTCTACCCCACACCCTGGGCCTCCATCCACCACAGCCTCTCATGACCATCCTGGCCAGCTGCAGACCTTGCCACACACCCTCTGGGAAGAATCATCATGGAGAATGTGCTCCATTCCCTCACATGCCTCAGGGGAAGTCATCACCCTCAGCCACCTTCTATGTGTGGTCAGTTCTTAGTTCTGAGATCCACAGACAGAATTCCACCCTCACCTGGTCAGCTTGGGATCTCAGACTCAGAGCCTCATTTTTTACCCAGAGCCAGGCAGAGAAATCTCATAACCTCCTTTTATGGGGAGATTTTTCTTCTGGATTTCCCTTTTGCTTTGGGCAAGGGTGCAAAGTCTGTCCTTAACTCTCCACCTCCTGCCTCTGTTGCTGGGTCCCTCCCAATGCAGTGCCTCGTGGTCATTTGTCTGCTTCTGCTGTCGCGAGTGAATATGTATTAAGCACACTACTTTTCCTTTCCCGTCATCTCTACACTGGTCTGCCCACTTTTCCTCTGGAGCTGTCAGGTTATGTTGAGATCAGCAGGACCTGAAGTCTGTCTCATTCCACACACAGGATGGGAGTGAACAGAGCTTTCACAGCATTACAATCTTAAGTCAGAAAGAAGTTGACTTAAAAACAGTTTAATACAACATAATTCCAGCCCATGTTATAAAATGAGTATTCTAGGGGAGAAGCCCTTTACAGCAAAAGTCCTAGGTTTCAGCTGATTACTCAGTTATTTTCAGGATTTCTTACAAAACTTTGGAGCCTACCTGTGACTTGGCTACAAGGAAGCAGGCTGTCTACAACATGGCTCTAAGGAAGCAAGAAGTGAGGGCAGAAACCAGGCAGCTGCAGGGAGGCTCCAGGTGGGATGTCCCCAGGATAGACCAGGTTATTTCTTGTGAGACTTGGCGCATGTGTTCCAGGTAGAAACTGCTGTGCTCAGCTCAGATTTCGGCAGAAAACCTACTGCACATTCACAGGATCCGGGTAAACTCCAGACCTACAGGATTTTGGTAGGAACCGAAGCAGTGCTGGGCTTGTTATTTTTTAATTCCAGACAGAAGGTTGTTTTGCCGATTCTTAGACTTTTGGCTTGATGGTGAGGCTGAGATAAGATCCACACCTGTCAGAGACATACCACCAAGATGTGGATGAAACTCCTGGGCAAGCCCTGCCTGCCCCGAGGACTCAGGTCCTCCCCACATGGAAGACAGGAGGACCACCCATGCCGGGGTGGGCTTGCACACTATACTTCCCAGACAAATCAGGACATCTGTGTTCTTCCCCTGCAGTTCCAAACACAGCATGTTCCGTGTTCGGATGTCTTCCTGCCTCATTAGCAAGTGCAGTCTCTGAGCTGAACTTGCCTGCTGTGACTGGAGGCAGCAACTCAGGAAATCTCCATGACAGATTGCTTTGGAGTAAAATAAACCTCCCTGCTCTTCTCCCAGATTCCCCAGCTTTGCAAGCCATGTCCTTGTCTCTGGAGACCCTGGTTGCACTGAGCCTTCCTGGGCATCCCATCATACTCCTGCAGTCCAGGACACTGGGTATGCAGTCCTGGGTATCAGGATGGCCAGCATGAAAGGCAATCGAGACAGTATTTGCTGGAGGAGTGAACTGACTATTGGATGTGAGAGCTTGAAAGCTTCAGGCTTGGCCCTTTCCCAGACTGAGTCACACCGTGGACTGGCTCTTTTTTTTTTTTTTTTTTTTTTTTTGGTGGGACTGGAGTTTGAATTCAGAGCTTCATGCTTGCAAAGCAGGCACTCTACTGCTTGGGCCACACTTCAAGCACATTTTGCTCTGGTTACTTTGGAGGTGGAGTCTCTGAAACTGTTTGCCTGAGCTGTCTTCTAACCACGATCCTTCTGATCTGTTTCCCAAGTATTAGGATTACAAGAATGAGCTACCTCACCTGGCTGGACTGGTTCCCAAAGGTTGCAGCACATGTGGTCCACCATGATTGTTGGAAATTTCTCCACCCCTCCCCACTGCAGCTACACTGTCTAAGGCAGTCTCTCTTGTTCTGAAGAAACTTTTCCATTCCTCACTGGCAAGTCTGTTCCAACCCCTTCCTTCTCTTTTGCCTTTGGCTTTTAAAACATTTGATAGGTCACTCCTGGATCTCGTGGATGCATGTGTTGTAATGTGCTGCTCTGGTGGTAGGTTTGTACTTGGCTCGGCAGTGGTTAGAGGATAAAATTGCTAACAACATGTCTTGGTGTTGAATGTCAAAGGCAAAGTTTTCCAGTGTGTTACACATGATCATTTAAATGAATGGTGCTGGACTTTATCCAGATCTACTCACTCAGAACTTGTTTTGAGGAAACCAGGTACCTGCTAAGCACTTATTTCTCACTACCCCCCACCACCATTTGACCCCACTGCTCTGTCTCCTTGGTTACTTACTGTGGTCATTTCATGTCAATAGGTCCATCCTGTAATGACTGTTCCTACATGGCTTTTTATACTTAGCATAACTTTTCAAGGTTTATCCATGTTATAGTGGTACTTAATTCCTTTCCATGGCTGAGTAATATTCCAGTGTCTGAATGTACCAGATTTTGTTTATCCATCCACCAGTTGATGGAATTTGGGTTGTTTTCATCCTTTGGCTTCTTTGAGTAACACTGCTATGAACATTTAGGTACATGTTTTTGTGTGGATGTATGTTTTCCTTTCTCTGGTATATGGTGAGGCGTGACTGTTTGAGGCACCCCAAACTGTTTTTCACAATGATTGTGCTGTTTAAAGTGCCCCCAGAGTTTCACACAAGTTGACTCTGAAAATTTTTGCCAGTTTTTTCATTGTTTTAAGGTAGAAAGGACTTTTGGAACTCCTTATTCTACAATTTTCATGACACTCGGAGTAGCAAGAAGTATTCTTTCCTGGCAGTTTTCCTGATGATTCTGATGTTGCTGGACCTTTGTCCATTGAGGGGGTCTGTGTCTCCCTGCCCAGACATCATGATGTCCTCACTGGTAGGTGACCCCATCTTAAGCCTGCAGGAACTTGCCTATCTTTGCCCTCCTTGCTGTTGCCACAGCTCTCAGAAGGATGGTGCTGAATGTCCAGCCTCATCATTCCAAGAAGCAAAGAGACACCGAGAGCAATGAATTGGAGGGGGTGGACCTGCCCCCAGCACTGGGAAAAGGGACCACTGAGGTCCCTTCAGTCTCTGTGAGGCTGAAGTCTTTGATGTCAGAAATACACTCTTTTTGGTAGGATACTCTGGGAAATGTGGGCTGTTTACAGGAAAAGGTGTGGGTAAACAACAGTTTGCACATAAACCTAGAGAGCTCACAAACCCTCTGAAGAATCCCTGTGGACACAAAACACAGAGCCCCCAACTTAGAGAAAACAAGGCCCACTGAAGAGCCAGGCTCTGTGGGTTTCCATCTCTCTATATTCGTGGTTTTCAATCGCAGCTGTGCAGCAAAATTATCCAGAAGCTTTATTCAAAGCAAAACAAAACATTTTCATTATGGAAATGTCAAACATGCATAAAGGAAAGAGAGACGAAGTGAGCCCTGGTGTGCCCACCCCCAGTTCCCACAGCTGTGAAATTCAGGAGTTTCCTCTGTGACCACGGGTTGAACACCCATCCATGAATTCCCACTTGGACCTCGAAGACAAAAAAGCCTGTATCTCACATACCACAAAACCATGATCACACCTTTAAAAATTCCTTTAACATATAGCACCCAGGTTTCTCATTTACTCTAAATCCTTTTCACAATTGGTTCGTCCTAATCTGTGTCCACATTACATTTGGCTGTTTCATACGTCTTTTTAAAATTGATGATAGCCCCTGCCCCACCTCTCTTTAACCCTTGACGGTTATTTGTTGAAGGGCAGGTAGTTTGGGTGAAAGCTTGGGATCTACTCTTTGCTTTAAGAGAAGGCGGGTGCTATGAGGGAGTCCCGGTTCCCCAGCCCCCGGCTCCTCGGCTGGCCGGCGGAATCCCCTGACGCGCCCTTTTCTCTTGCAGGCCCAGGCTCCTGAGCTCAGCGCGTGCGGCCGGCACATGGGGCGATGGCCCTGCTCCCGGGGCACGCGGAGCCCCCCGGCCGGGAGCCCGGCGTGGGAGGCCGAGGCGGCGGGGCGGCCCGCGCGCGGCACGTCATCATCAACGTGGGTGGGTGCAGGGTGCGCCTGGCCTGGGCCGCACTAGCACGCTGTCCACTCGCGCGCCTCGAGCGTCTGCGGGCCTGCCGCGGCCACGACGAGCTGCTGCGCGTGTGCGACGACTACGACGTGAGCCGCGACGAATTCTTCTTCGACCGCAGCCCGTGCGCCTTCCGCGCCATCGTGGCACTGCTGCGCGCCGGCAAGCTGCGGCTTTTGCGCGGCCCGTGCGCGCTGGCCTTCCGCGACGAGCTGGCCTACTGGGGCATCGACGAGGCGCGGCTGGAGCGCTGCTGCCTGCGCCGCCTGCGCCGCCGCGAGGAGGAGGCGGCCGAGGCGCGCGCAGGGCCAGGGGCGCACGAGGCGCAGGAGAGCCCGGCGCGCGCCCTGGGGCCCGGCCGGCTGGAGCGCGGCCGGCGGCGCCTGCGCGACGTGGTGGACAACCCTCACTCGGGGCTGGCGGGCAAGCTCTTCGCCTGCGTGTCTGTGGCCTTCGTGGCAGTCACGGCTGTGGGCCTCTGCCTGAGCACCATGCCGGACATCCGTGCTGAGGAGGAGCGGGTGAGTACTCGCGGGTGGAGGGCCGGGCAACCCTGGGACGGGGCGGAAGGGGTGCGCGGAGCGGGGACCTTCGTCACACACACTACAGGTTCCAAGCCCCTCCGCGCCCACGCTGGTTAAGTAGCCGGGAGTGAGGGCCTAGGAGTGAGATGCATAGGTCTGCCCCGGGGCAATCGACAACTCAGCCAGTGACTACTCCTGCAAAGTTTGGTCAATGTAGAGCTAAAAAATATTCCGTGTTAGGAAAAATGCCGCTCACAAAGAAAGCTCACAAGAAAATCTCACGCCCAAGGGCAGGGTTTAATGACAGGCACGGGCCATCTGGCTGACCTGGGAAAGAAGGAGAGCCTGGGCCAGGCATAGCTTTTTATAGCAAGAGGGAGGGTAAGAGGTTGGCGCATGCGCAGGGGTCCCTGATGGGGGTGGAGCTTGTCTTGGAGCGCAGGGAAATTTTGGTAAAGGGTGGGGCTGTTATTGGGAATGGCTCCATTTTCCAAGAGGTGAGGCCTGAGGATAAAATGGCCGCTGATTTATAAAATGGCTGCATTATTCTATCATTCCGTATTTTAAACATCAAGAGAATTGTGTAGTTTACAGAATTTGATCATTCTGGGCCAAAGGGACTTGACCTCTACATTCACCCCAGACCACCGCCTTACTGGCTTGTGGAGGTGCTGAGACTCTGCTCTATTGGACTGCCCACTTCCTGCCCCCTTCTCTCTGCCCTGTCTCCCAGTCTGAAAATGCCGTGCATGACAGGTGAGCAGAGTGCCATTTGTGTGTTAACCAAAGTTCCCACAACAAAGCTTACCAGCGTCTGTGAACCTTGACCTCCATAGAAAGTTTTGGGAGCCTTTGGAGAAGGACTGTGTGCACCAGGCAGGGTTCTGTCATGTCTCAGGGGTTGGAATTCCTAGAGAAGAAAACACTGCAGTATTTGAACTGGCTGAGTGCTGCTCTGAGTCCTGCCATCCCTTCCCCTGAGTACCCCCTGTCCTGTCCTCAGAGGCTTCCATCTTCCCCATGTTGACTCCCCTTCCTGGGCAGAGCAGATCTAGGCCAACTCCTCAGAGGCCTGAGCCTGCCTGGTGTGATCAACTCATTATTCACAAGAATAGTGAGGAACTGAAATGAGCAGGCATGTGGAAGCCCTAATTGCAGATTAAATTTAAATGTAAATTTTAGGAAATTGGTTTGGCTTGGCTTATTATTGGGTGTCCTAAGGCTGATTTGCCATTTCTGGCAAACCAGACCCGAGTTTCTGATTCTGCTTTTAAACAGATGCAGAGGGCCAGGTGTTTAGCTCAGTGGTAGAGAGCTTGCTTAGCAAGGAAGGCTCTCCAGGGTCTGCAGATACACAAGAGAACAAGAACAGTGTGGCAGTGCTTGGAGGCTGTGGGTTCAGCCCCCCGGGTTGGGATTTCTGAGTAGCAATCACCCACACATTCACAAGGTGAACAGCATTCACAAAAGAATGGGAGAAATCAGGGCTTCACCTCAGCTGGTGAAGGATCTGAGGAGTACCGAGCCCCAATCTGCTAGGGGTATCCACTGGTCTTCCTGTCACTCACCCATCCACATTCCCAGGCTCTGTTTCTCACTCAGTTATCAAATTAAAAAGTAGTGGTCCTCAGTGTGGGGGACCTGGTGAGCTGTGACCAAGCTGCTGGTTCTGTACACCAACGAACTGAGAGCTGTGAAGAAGCATTCTGTCATGACCGTCTGTCCAAGGACACAGGGGAGCTGTAGGCATATGCTCGCTGAGCATTAGTAAAAAAAGAGGAAGCCAGGGAGCTTCTGACTATCCAAGTAAATCTCCTTCTGTCCAGTGGAGGGAATGTGGGGAGACATAAGATGTCAGCCATTCATGTGAAAAATGTTCAGCCTAACATACAATTAAATACCTGCAGACCACTCTAGTAATGAGATCCTGGCTTCAACACAGACTAAGATGGACAAGTGTCTCTTGCTAACGGTTCCTGGCACTCAGCTGCTGGGAATGACTCGGGAACAAAAATCTCACCCCTCTTTGGTGACGTCTGTCAGAATAGTAGTAGTTCTCCTGAAAGAGTAATTGTGTCTCCAGCCCGCAGTCTCGAGGGCTGCCCTCTGTAGGATTTCTGGGCACACAGTGCTCTCCCAGGTGTGGGTAGTGATGGGAGCCTGACGATTCCCCTATGGCATGTTCTGAAATACACTTCAGGAGACTCTTACCCAGAGTCTCACCAGGATGGCCCCCTTGGTGTTCAGATGCACAAGAGAACAAGGGCAGACAGAGTAGCCTCAGACTGTGCCAGAATCAGAGATGGGGACTCAGTGGGGGACACTTAGGAAATGCCCATCCACTGCACACAGTAGATGCTGCGTAACTAGTAAGGAAAAGGCTTCATATTTTGTGGACTTTTTTAAATTTGGTAAAGTGTATATACGACTTGCCATCTTGCCGTTCTTGAGTGCACTTGGTACACTCTGAGCATTGTGCAGCCCTCCTCATATCCATCTCCTTAAGAAGAAAGTTTTGACATGCCACCACATGGACAGACCATGAGGTCATTGTGCTCAGTGAAGTAAGCCAGTCACAAAAGGCAGTACTTACTACATGAAATAACCACAGTAGGGAATCTCAAGGAGACACAGTGGACAGAGACTGGGATAGGACAGTGGAGTGTCACTTTGGGAAGATAGATCTGGGATGGATGGTGTTATGGCTGCAGAACACAATGAATGTGTCTGGGCTGGGGAGCCCAGTATTGCTTGGGAATAGCAGGCATGACACAGCCTATAAGGACAGAGACTGGTCCAGAGCAAAATCACAGAATAGAATGGATCTGGCACCCTTGAGTAGCAGGTCTAATGAGCACTGAGGCCAGCTTTCTAGTAATACCCTTTCACTGTCCCTGGAGCATCACGGTCTTCCTGACAGACTGGAGGTGGGGCCTGGACCCACATTCAGACCACCTAGGACTCCACAGCCAGGACTCAGCACAGGTGTGTCCACCGTGGCGTTCACCTGGGGGGGCTGTTAGGGCCCTGACACCCTGCTGCACTCATGCACACAGCTGCCCAGAATACCCCTAAAGCTTAGCACCCCCCCCTCTCCCAGGAGAGAAGCAGATCTGGGTGTCTGGGGGTGCCACTCAGGGAAGGCTGAGGATTGCAGCCACTCTTGGTTCCTCATCCTTCCTGCCCTGGCACACCCAGATTTACTTCCTGCGGTCCCTGAAGCAGACACCACAGCTGCCTGCCTTAAAACAGGGCACATTTATTCCCATACAGCTCTGAATGGCAGAAGTCCAAAATGGGTTTCATTGGGCTAAAAAACCAAGGCTGGCTCCTTCTATAGGCTGTGGGGGTCCATCCTCTTTTAGTTCAGGCTGCCACAGGCCCTCCTGCATCCCCAAAGTGGATCACTTGGCCCCAACTTCTCCCTGTGTCCTCTGACTGACCCCAGCCTCTGCTTACAGGGCCTGCAACCACATGGCCCCACCTAGGTGACCCAGACAGCCTCCCATGCCAGGTCCCTTAATTCAGACACACCATGAGTCCTCTTTGCCATGTAAAGTGGCATGTTTCTGGGTTCCAGGGTGAGGACCTGGGTGCCTTTGGGGGCCATTACCCAGCCAACCAGAATCATGACATGTTCAAGGCAAGCCTGCTGCCTGCTTGGCCTCCAGGCCGAGGGTTTTAAGTCCTGCCATGCACTCATCCATGTGGGGAGCCATGCTTGCCATCTGGCTCCAGAGCTCAACACACCCCTGCTCTCTTGGTACCCAGTCCAGGTGCCCAGAGGAGAAGGGACATATAGGTCAGTTCCGTGACAGTAGCTGGGAGAAGCAGTGCTACCTGCAGGGACTGGAAGGAGAAAGGTGTTCACATGCAGTCTTTCCAAGTGTTGGAATTACATCATCTAATTGCCTGAAAGCTTTCAGTTCCTCACAGCCCTGTGTAAAATGCTGTTCTTATGGAACATGGCTCTTTTCCATACTTCTTGTGTTATGATCATAATCTCAAACTAATTTTAATCCTGTCCTCAGTAGAGTGCATGTGGGAGTGGGCCTGGGCTGCAGCTGGGACCCAGCCTGCCCATCGATGCAGGTCGTATCTTCCAGGGCCTTCTCAGGGTTTCCTCAGCCACTGGTCCTTCCCAGAAGAAAAAGTCAATGATTTCCAAACCCACAGTGCTCTCTTGCTATGGAGGTGAAGGCTAGCAACCAATAGCCTGAGCATCTGTGCCCATAAAAGTTGCCCTGAATTCTCTGGCCCCCAAAAGAGAGTATTCTGGAAAACACACCCAGTGCACCCCCCTTTCCTGTGTTCCCCAGAGGGAGAAGTGCAGACTTCCCAGTCTCTGCACGCTGAACTGTTGCCTTCAGCCAAGTGTCTTGGGACCACATGTTGGAGGGCGTTGGGAGGGCTTGGAGGCTGTTTGTGGGTAGAGGTCATGCTCAGTCCTGAAGGACTTCTCCAGGCTCCCACTGCCTGCCTTTGCCATGCTGCAGGAGCCTACAGGATGCAGGGAGGAACAGGCACCTCCATGGCCTTAAATAGCCATGACAGCCTCTCCAAGGAGCCTGCCACCTTCGCTGGGTTGGGGTGGGAGACACTGATTCTCTCTGTCCACACCCCATGCTGCCATCATGGGTAATGTGGTATGTTCAGGGTCAACAGCAGCACTCCTTGAACCTACAGGCTCCAGTGCAGGCTCTGGCCTCAACTGGACTTAATCACTGTGAATCATCTGAAGGAGTGACAGTGTCTGTGGGACTTTAGTCAGTGATATGGTCAGGGGCCTTTTTCTCCTTTTTTTCGGCAGTACTGGGATTTGAACTCATAGCCTTGTGCTCTACCACTTGAGTCACACCTGGTGCCCTTTTTGCTTTAGTTATTTTGGGGATAGAGTCTTGCATTTGTACCTGGACTGGTCAGAACTGTGTTCCTCCTATTTATGACTCCTGTGTAGCTGCGATGACAGACATTTACCACCACATTTGGCTTTTATT